GGGCAACGGGCTAGATTAGTGGTTCTCAAAGTTTTTGATATCAGGATGTCTTTAGACTTTAAAAAATGTTTGACCCCAAAGAGCTTTTGTTCATGTGGGTTATAGTCACTGATATTTACTATATTAGAAGTAAAAACATAATCTAAAGATTTGTTAGTTCATCTAAAAGTAATAGTAAATCCATGACATATAAACATAAGCAAGTTTTTTTTTTTTTTAGTTGGAGTCTCACTCTGTCGCCCAGACTGGAGTGCAGTGGCCGCTCCCGGCCACCGCAGCCTCGACCCGCTGGGCTCCGGTGATCCTTCCTCCTCAGCCTTCCAAGTAGCTGAAACTACAGGCGCGCGCTACCACGCCTGGCTAATTTTTGATTTATTGTAGAGATGACGTCTCACCAAGTTGCCCAGGCGGGTCTCAAACCCGCGGGCGCAGGCAATCCACTCACCTCAGCCTCCCAAAGTGCTGGGATTACAGGCTGAGCCACCGAGCCCGGCTATAAGCAAGTTTTTATTGTAAAATAGACATTATTTACCATTTTAGACTTTTTAAAAATTGGAATCTCATTCTATCACCGATTGGAGTGCAGTGGCACGTCCACTGCCATTGCAGCCTCGCCCTGCTGGGCTCAGGCAATCCTTCCACCTCAACCTTCCAAGTAGTTGGAACTACAGGCGTGTGCTCCCACGCCCAGCTTATCTTTTGATTTATTGTAGAGACGAGGTCTCACCAAGTTGCCCAGGCTAGTCTCGAACCCCTGAGCTCAGGCAATCCTCTCACCTTGGCCTCTCAAAGTGCTGGGATTATTGGCTTGAGCCACCGCAACTGGCCTCATTTTAGTCCTTTTTGAATGTACAGTTCTGTGGAATAAGTAATTTAAAAAATAAAATGAAAAATAAAAACACTTAAAAAATAAAAATAAATATTTTCACAAAACAAAAAAGATAGTGAAAGGAGTGGTTTTATTTTACATTTTTGCAAGTTGTTTTAATGTCTGTCTTTTTTTTTTTTTGAGTTGGAGTCTCACTCTGTCGCCCGGACTGGAGTACAGTGGCCGCTCCCGGCCACCGCAGCCTTGACCTACTGGGCTCCGGCGATCCTTCCGCCTCAGCCTTCCAGGTAGCCAGAATTACAGGCATGCGCTACCACAACAGGCTGATTTTTTGATTTATTGTAGAGATGAGGTCTCGCTGCCCAGGCGGGTCTCGAACCCGCGGGCTCAGGCAATCCACTCACCTCAGCCTCCCAAAGGCGCGGGATTACAGGCTGAGCCACCGAGCCCAGCTAATGTCTGTCTTATAAGAAGACAGCTGGATTATCTGCATTCAGTCTGTTGCAGTATTACATATCATATAGTCTGGAAACTCCACTGTACACTTGTGAAAGGATAAGAGTGAAAAAGACCAAGGACATTTTAATGTATATGAAAATAATTTTGATTTTGTGGGCCCCCAGAAAAGATTTTGAGCACCCTTAGAGCTTCCCAGACCACACTCTGAGAACCACTGAACTAGCTAATAATCTCTGAGATTTCGTTGAGGCCAGAAGTTCTGAGGCTGCTATTCTTGGACAGTGAATCAGAGAGGAATAAGACAATGAAGTAGGGGAGAAAAAGAACACATTACTGGGAATTTAGAAGAATGGATATGTTTGTGGTCAAGTGCTGTATAGAGTAAGCAGGGAAATTAGGAAAGTTTTCTTAGAGGAGGAAGCATTTGAATTAGGTGTAAGAAGTGGTATGAGTTGGGCTCGGTGGCTCAGCCTGTTATCCCGTGCTTTGGGAGGCTGAGGTGAGTGGATTGTCTGAGCCCACGGGTTTAAGACCTGCCTGGTCAACTCGGCGAGACCTCATCTCTACAATAAATCAAAAAATCAACTGAGCGTGGTAGCGTGTGACTGTAATTCTGGCTACTCGGAAGGCTGGGGCGGAAGGATCGCCGGAGCTCAGCAGGTCGAGGCTGTGGTGGCCGGGAGTGGCCACTGCACTCCAGTCTGGGCAACAGAGTGACTCCAACTCAAAAAAAAAAAAAAAAGTAGTGTGATGTGGACTGAAGGAGTTGGGAGGCTTATTCCAGAAGGTAGATATTAGAGGGATGAGTTTGGGGGGGATAATCAGAGTGTTTGAAGGGAAATTGAAGGAGATGAGATTGTTGAGGGAGATTGAGGTCAATTCCCTGAAGAGTTTGGATTCAAGCTAAGGAGCTTGAACTTAATCTGTCAGGTGAAGGGGCATCATTGAGATTTTTGGAGTAGCTCATTTAGGTTATAACCTTAATCGATTAGGATGATTTGATGAAGGAAAAACAGGAGACTTACAGTAGCACAGATTAGAGGTAGTAAGAGATGCAACTTTTCCATTAAAGACACTTTTCTTTTTCTTCTTGAGTCAGAATATCATTCTGTTGCCAGGCTGGAGTGTAGTGGCATGCTCACGGCCACTGTAGCCTCGACCTGCTGGGCTCATGTGATCCTTCTGCTTCAGCCTTCCAAGTAGCTGGAACTACAGATGTGTACCACCACACCTGGCTTTTTTAAAAAAAATTGTAGAGTGAGGTCTTGCCATGTTGCCTAGGCTGGTCTTGAACCCGTGGACTCAGGCAATCCTCTTGCCTCCGCCTCCCAAAGTGCTGGGATTACAGGCATGAGCCACTGCACCTGGCTAATCACACCTTAACCTACTCTCTCACAAATTGAAGAGGTGATATAGTCAGTTATACCGTGTGTTCCAGTCCTGTCCTCAATGCTCATCCTTTTTTGAACTAACTTTTGTTATTGTCTTGAGCACTTTGCACAGCTATTACCCTATATAGTGGAAGAGGAACTAGAGTGGGAGAATTTATGACTACATTAAATAGAAGGATGTATTTTCTCTGCCAACATGAAAGGGCCTCAGTATCACTTCCGTAAAATGTTGAAGTGGAAAGAGTACTGACCTTAAGCTAGACCTGGCTGGAGACAAATTTGAATCCTTGAGAAATTCTCTGAACTTCAGTTTTCTCCTCTCCGAAATGTTAATAATATCTATTTTTTTCATGCTCCTCCAACTTGAATGAGCTGGTGGACAAAAGTGATTTGTGAATAGTAAAGTGGTATGAAGCCGGGCTCGGTGGCTCAACCTGTAATCCCGCGCCTTTGGGAGGCTGAGGTGAGTGGAATGCCTGAGCCCACGGGTTTGGGACCCGCCTGGGCAGGCGAGACCTCATCTCTACAATAAATAAAAAAAAATTAGCTGGGCGTAGTAGCGCACGCCTATAGTTCCAGCTACTTGGAAGGCTGAGGCAGAAGGATTGCCAGAGCCCAGTTGGTCAAGGTTGTGGTGGCCGGGAGCGGCCACTGCACTCCAGTCTAGGTGACAAAGTGAGACTTCAACTCAAAAAAAAAACACAAAAACAACAACAACAACAACAACAAAAAGTAAAGTGGTATGTAAATACAGAGCATTAGAAACCTTAGCTCATGTATAATCTTATGTATGAACATATGATTCCTTTGTGTAAATGATGCCCTTTTCCATATTCCCTTTAGAGAAGTGTACTCCTTTAGGGAGTATAGATCTCATCATAGTTTAAATGATCTCTTCAGTACTGTCTTGTAATAGTATTGGAAGTTACAATTGTTTGGATTAATAATGGCAAGACATGGTTGCTATTGAATATTCTTCTTCATTTTCAAGTTGGTACGCAAGAAGCACGTGCTGTCCTGCTTCCGAGATGCCCTGGTGAGGCACACCTCTCTGGTTACACAGCTGGTGGCTCAGGACCAGAGAGTCTGCATCCATTTTATAAGCATGCTTTTTGGTGAGATTAAAAGGGGAAACGACATGAGTTTTGCATGATAGCATATATATTTGCTTTGGGAAGTCTTGGAGAAATGGTCTTAAAAGATGATTTAGATTTTTTTGTATTGTAACAGTTTATTAGCAAATCGTTTTGTCATAATGATGTAGAATGACTCCTTTTCTAAGATACATGATGAATTTTATGGTAACTGGCTTTACTAGAGCCAAGAGGTTAGAAAAACTGAAAATGAAAATGGGAAGTGAGGGGCCGGATGCACTTTGGGAAACTGAGGCAGGAGGATAGCTTGAGGCCAGGAGTTTGAGACCAGCCTGGGCAACATAGTGAGACCATGTCTTTACAAAAAATTAAAAAATTAGTCAGGCATGGTGGCACATGCCTATAGTTCCAGCTACTCAGGAGACTGAGGCAGGAGGATCACTTGAGTCCAGGAGCTTGAGGTTTCAGTGGACCATGACTGTGCCATTACACTCCAGCCTGGGGACAGAGCAAGACCCTGACCAAAAAAAAAAGGCTAGGCATGGTGGTTCACACCTGTAATACCAGGATATTGGAAGGCCAAGGCAGGAGGATCATTTGAGACCAGGAGTTTGAGACCAGCCTGTGCAACATCGTGAGACTCTGTATCTACAAATTAAGAAAAATAGAGGGGAAGGAATGAAAGAATAAAATAAAATGGGAAATGTGTAATCTTTTGAAGAGTCCAATCTGTATGGTCTTTGCTTGGGATCAGAAGATCCAGAATGGAGTCTGCTGACCCAGGTGTGACCCTGATCAAGTTACTTTCCCTTTCCTGTGCCTTAGTTTCTTCATGTATAAAGTATGATGGATTAAATTTTATCTGAGATTCCTTCTTTTAATATGATGATTATAATGTCCAATGGAATGAGCCCTTTTGGGGAGGAAGGCTGCTAGCTTGTATTGGGTGCTTTTCTGTGTTAGAGACTTTTCAGGCTTTTAACTGCTAAGTCAGTCTTTTAAGGAAGATAAAATAATCCTCAGGTCATAGAGAGTTCATAGCCAACACATGAGATAGCTAGAATTTTACCCCAGGACTGTCACAGACATATGGTTTTTCTGTTGTACTACATTGACAGCCTTTATCTTTTTTTTTTTTTTTTTTGAGTTGGAG